CCTTGTGACCTCTAGCAGTGTCCAGCAGAGCACTGGTAAAGTTTGTAGAAGGTGTTTTCTTTTTGCTCTAGGAGGATGCAAAACCTCTGACCTCTGTCTGGACAGTGCTGATCACATGCACTGTCCCAAGAAAAAAAAAAAACCTCTCTAGCAATACACACTAAACTGAGCATATGCAGAGTGTCTCTGCACAAAATGTCTTAGCAGGAGATAACTGGAAGAAGGGGAGGAACAGAGAAGTGAGGATGAAACAGCAATTTTACACAATGCACACGATTAACCCCTTAGGTTCCACAGTGAGTATAACAAGCATGCTTTATTGCATATACAGACTGATCTCTGGAGATGGACTTGTAACCTTGAGATTGTCCACAATTTTTGTTCTCAAATCCTCAGACAATTCTTTGCTGCTCTTTCTCTTCTCCATGCTCCATGTGGCACACAACAGGAACAGTTGACTCAGTTTTTCACCGTTTGAAAATTGTTGCCAGTGTGATTTCTATATTGTCAGCACCTGTTAATTGATACAGGTGAATTTAATTACAAAATTACAGAAGCATCACAAAACTTGGAATGCAATTATTTCTTACAATTTTGAGAAAGTGCCAATAATTTTGTCTAGTCCATACTTGGGGTTTTGTGTGGAATGTGTCAGGGTTGGCTTTCTGTTCCTCCACTTTTTTTTTTGTGTCATACCAATACAAACAAAATAAAAACATGGGAATGCCTAAAACATTTGTGTCAATATTTTTGGCAATGACTGTATATACACACACACATAAATATATATATATATATATATATATATATATATATATATAATATATACATATACACACACACACATATACTCACACACACACATACACACACCTTAGCTTGTACGCCCCTTGAGGGTTAGGTACTGACGTGAATGTACAATATGTATGTAAAGCACTGCGTAAACTGACAGCACTATATAAGTACCTGGAATAAATACAATTATATACAAAAATATATATATATTTTTTTATTTATTTATTTATTTCAGGTACTTTTTGTTTTTTTTTTTTTTGGTGCCCAGAGTTTAGCTTAACATTACAGTAATTGTAACAACAGCTTAATAGACTGAGGGCCTTATTTCCTAAAGAAAACAGCTGCTAAATTATGCAAGGCAATATAGCTTTTACTAACTGGAAAACAGCTGGTGCCTCATTCAATGCCAATGAGGACTGCAAAAGCAAAAGGGGGGGGGGGGCGTGAGGCCCACAAAAAACAACCCGACACACCTGCTTCAGACCAAACAGACAAATGTATATAAGCAGACACAAAACACATTTCAATGGTTTAGTGGATTTATTGAATTTAGTGGCACCTGTAATATATGACTTTTGGAGTCAGTGCATACCAAAGGAAAAAAAAAAAAAAAAAAAAAAAAAACCATTTATGAAGAGCGGAAATCCATCTTGATGGTTAAAAAAAAAAAAAAAAAAAAAGACTCAGTACAAAACAATGACATATGTTTTTAAGACTCCCACATAAAACAAAAAAAACCTCCTTCATATGAATGGATTGTCAACAGAGTCTGCTGTTGAAGCAAATGTTTCAGAAATGGAATCTCATGACAATGACTAAAAAAAAAAACACATACATCCAAACTGGCACTGTATTGGCTTTAACGGGATAGTCATGGCAGCTTCAGATCTCTGGCCAACAATGCAAGGCACCAAGAGATCGGTCATGGTGTTTCCAGATCGCTGTATTTTTACCTCCACATCTGGACTCAGCCCATTAACAGGAGGTCTCCCTTTTCAGTGGAGACAAGGGAGTGATTGTTGAGTGATTACAGAGATTTCACACCATGTTAGAACATCTTCTGACCCGAAAAAATAAATACTTCTGATGCTAGAGAATTCTTACTGTTACTTAGGAGTTGACCCCTACACTGCCAGCTTATTGCAATTGGTTGCATCGCTTGCAAATACTGGGCCATGTATGGCCGGCCTTAATGATGCTGATATAGTATAAACTAAAAAAAAAACTAAAAAATATACAGTATAAAAAGGTTTAAACATATACAGAAGTGACACCACAAAGATCATGTCACAAACAAGAAAAACTATATATTTATAAATAGCAATTTGGCTACTATGTACATATTTCAAAGCTTTATCAAGCAATATATAGTGCAGTGCAAAAAAAAAAAAAAAAGAGAGAGAAACGGACACCCATATCACAAAACTCTTCATACATAAAACAATAAAAGGACTGTTTGTAAGTATCTCCCTGTCCTTACTGACAGAGTGCCTTTTTTTTTTTTTTTTTTTAATCACTGTCCTTTCACATTTTGGCTTTCAAGAAGAGTCTAGAGCAGAGGTTCTCAAACCAATCCACAGGCTTTGCCATTAAAACATGTTCTGTGGATTCCCTCCCTGGAACACAGCTAGGTCCATCACCAAATGACCTCCACAACTTTTCTATGTGCTTTTGTCGAGAGATCCACTTGAGAACAGCTTTGAGAGCCTCTGATCTAGATAAGATGTATCATGGGACAAAATCAGATCAGTGCGGGACACTGAAGGCTTAATTAATTGACAGTGCAATCAGAAATTACATTAATAGTTTAGTGACATTTAAAGCAGAACTCTAGGCAACAGATTTATCCAATATTAAGTCACTCTCCTACCCTATTAATGAAGATAAAGAATGAAGATTTTTCTCCTTGCCTTACACTATTATGGAGATATTGTAACATAAAATGCCTGTGATGTCATTACAGAGCCTATTTTAGAAGTATCCCTAGCTGAATAAAGCAGGAAGGGCTACCAGGGCACCCTATGTGTATTCCAGTATGTGTTGGGTGCCCTATCAGAGCAAGTATGAGCGCCTCCAAGGTCAATGACAGGAACAAGAAACTCCCCTGTCATGTCTGCAGCATTCTGCTGTACAACAATAGAAAGCAATAGTATCCTTGTACAATTAGCACGTAAGGTTTCTCACACCAGCTGGAGCAATATTCCACAGTCTGAACCTCACAAATAAAACAGTTCTAAATAGTATTAGGTGAATGCAGAGAAAGTTTGTCGTGGTAGTATATGATCTGAATGTGGTCACTGCAGAAGAGGGGTGGACATTTGTTTATTTACGTGTGCGTTACTTTATCAGGAATAAGGAATCCTGTCAGCTAATTGACCTGGATAACAAAAAAAACTACAGTGCTGTCAGTGTAGGAAAGAGTTTGCCTGTAAAACTAGCTAATTGAGAAATGGAGCACAAACAAGTGGAGCAGTACTGGACAGGGCAAGGTAGAGTGAGTAAACCCCACCAGCCTTTCCCACTAGTGAGGACATCAGTGCTTTTACAGAGGTGCAGTTGTATGACCAGTCACCCAGCACATAGAAGCAGGCTGTGGTGATCAGATGTATAGACAGAAAATAGGCGCTTTCCAGCTCGCGGAAGGTAACCTATTTAGCTAGTTTAAAGCAGTGGTCTCCAAACTGCGGCCCGGGGGCCGAATGTGGCCCTTTGCATACCTTTATCCGGTCCTTGAGGTAGAGTCCCTCACACTGATATGAGGCACCCTTCCTCAAACTGAAGCAATAACTTCTTCACTAATACCAACAGACGGGTACTGTTACCTCCACTATGCCTCCCACTGACACCAACAATGGAACACTGTCCCTCCCACTGACACCAACGATGGGGCACTATTCTACTCACTGACACCAATAATGGAGCACTATGCCTCCCACTGACACCAACAATGGAACACTGTCTCTCCCACCGACACCAACGATGGGGCAGTATGTCTCCCTCTGATACCAACCATGGAGCACTATTCCTCTCACTGACACCAATAATGGAGCACTATTCCTCTCACTGACACCAATAATGGAGCACTATTCCTCTCACTGACACCAATAATGGGGTACTAATATTTTCCCTAATACCAAAGATGTGACATTGTTTACTCACAATGATGTCAGGACATTTTTATTCCCTTTGGTCATGTTTTGGCCCCCCTAAAGTCTTAAACACAGTAAACATGCCCTATGTTTGGAAAGTTTGAAGGTTTAAAGGATCCACAGGCCAGTGAATGAAAAAAAGAGGAGACCATATGATAAAGTTATGGGGATCTCTAAATGTAACAAATTAGTTGTGCCCAGAGTTCACCCTTAAATGCCAATATCCAGTTAACCATTACTGAAAAATAGCAGTGTACTCCTGTGCATATTCCCCATTCTCTGCTGATGATGCTGTATCAGAATTTAACGGTCAGCCCCAGTGACCGCTAAAGGCATATAAACAATCCTGCTAAAAAAAAAAAAAAAAGTTCTTCCCATCATCTTTTACCCAAAACCAAGTTTATAAATAAAGCCCTATAACTGGAACAGGTACTAAATCTTTCTAGTGAACCTGTTAAAGTGTGGACATAATGCAATATCTTCATACTGCATGTACTGGATAGAAAGAACAATGACAGTCAACAAAACAAGCAGCTGTAAAAAGCAGGAAGATCTTTTACTGCATAACGGAACACACAAAAAACACTTTAGAGTGATTGTACTCGGCCAAAGTAGCTCTGAAAGTGTTAAAGAAAAAAAATATATATAATGATCTAAACATGATTTTGCATAAAATGCTTCCCTCCTGTCACTTGCATTAAATGTACCTTGTCTAGCACTTCTAGTCACTGTGCTGTAATCACCTTACTTTGTCAGTAACATTATTTTACTAATGCCTGACACGCAGTCCAGAACACCCTTAATGTTAAAAGACATGCTTTGGTGCTTACAATATGGGAAAATAAAGAAAACTAGAAAAGAAACATGCAAATGTCAACAGTTATGGTTCTTAGTGGATAAACGAGACAGATTTATGCACATGTAAAACTGCTCAGACAAACCCTGAGGAAAACCGCATTGGAGGTACTAATATCTCGACCCCCTGTGAGACTGCAGCTTGTCTCGTCCACTAGAGTGAATATCGGTCTCTTTCACCATAGACACCAGATATGAGCCCTACGACAGGGACTCTGAAGAATATGCTAGCTTGGAAGCGGTGTCCCCTGAAAGGGATTCACTTGATGGCTCCAGGTCTCCATTTTCATGTCCTTCTACGTGATGCTTCTGGTCAAATACTAGAAGAAAACACAAGAGACATACTAAGGGAAGATTTACCAAAAACATATAGGTAGATTTACTAAAACTAGTGCACTCGGAATCTGATGCAGCTGAGCATGGTAGCCAATCAGGTTCTAACTTCAGCTTGTTCAATTAAGCTTTGACAAAAAAAAAACACCATGCAGAGCTGCAACAGATTTTGTACTCTCCAGTCTATGTAAATAACCCCCATAGTATACAAAAGCCAACTGTATCTACTTTATAATCAACTTGTAGATGACCTGAGGAGGTAGAAGGATTTTGCTTTACAAATCTTTTAGTACTTTTTACGTTCATCAACTTCCTGTGAAACAGACAGACCTGATTAATCCTCAATGTCAGATTTCAGGTTTCATTTTTGGTAGTAAAAGGCTGAGTATTAATAAACAAAATCATACATTAACACACAAACTTTCTTTCTGTTCCACATCTTAAGTACCAGATACCCTCCAAGTAGCATCAATTCAACATGTTTAATGACAACAGACACGCCCCCCCCATAGGTCATCCTTCTGAATCAGACCTTTATTCTCCATATTCTCTTAATTTCCTAATCTGGTCCACACATACATTTCCCCCAAGTGACTAAGGACTCAGTCATACTTATGTGTTGTGATAATCACAATGCACATTATATATGTATTGCGCTTCAGTGCTAATCTTTTCCAATGGTATCTCAATGTACTAAAGTAACGGACCTGCATTGTGGTACATGGTAACACATACTACAGTGTATTGTGGTGAATTTCATCGAATACAAATATTGCATGTCCAATATTTGGTGTGTTAGAAACTAAATTCAAATGGATAGGCTGCCTTCACATAACATGCGGTAACATGCATTAATGCACAACAAAATTACAAGTAGTCTTCAAAGATCAATCCCAGTATTTTATAATCTTAATACCTGGCAAACACTACACTCTACTCACTTTTTACCAATCTATTCTCTAGCGCTGATTTTTCTACTGGCACTAACAAACATGAATTCTGATGGTGAATTAGAAATCAATTAACAGTAATCAGCTATCCTTTTTTTTAGCTTTTGTGGCAGGAACATGATATGCTGTTCCCAATTTCTCTCTGGAAATAACCTGCCACCCTCGAAAAAAAACCTACGTATATATTTCAGCTTTTCACTTCCTCAGGTAATGCTCAAACTTTATCAAGGTTATAGCCCTCATTATTTGGGAATTACTTATCAAAGCTTTGAGGATTCACCCACTCCAATACCTGCAGCAAAATGGGTGCATGGGTTTGGTAACACTTTAAGTACACAAATCATCAGATTCTAAATATATCAGACATCTGAAAATAAAATATATGCATGCGAGAAGTGGTCTGTATAATGCAAATATATACGTGCCCCAAGCTGCCTTAGAAGGAAGGCTACAGCTCTGTTTATGAAAATTACTGTACACATTTTAGTTACCTCTTAGTGGTTTAGGATCACCACTTCCTTCTTTGTTAGGTACTGCAGGGTTAGCTCCACCTTCCTCTAGCTCATCAAGATACAAGCGATAACGATGTCCACTTTCATCTTCGTACTCTACATTTTCATCATCGGAGTCTATTTCTGGAGCAACATACACTACTTCAAACTCAATTTCTCCCCTCTGAAAGAAATTTAAAGAACAATTTTTTTTCCCAGTAGCAAACAGAACCTCCCCAAAAAACAAATTTTTACACCGTATAAACCAACATAAAAGAAGCTGAACTCCGGGCAAACAGCTCTGCTGTGTGTTTGGGTTGAGATTTACAGTCATCACACAGCCAAGTGGATGACGCCACTTACAGTAGAGGTATACAGTAGCGTCCTCTCTTCATCCCCAGCCTGCTGATCAGACAGTGAAAGTACAGCAGACTGATGAACTCATCCTGCTCCTAAATGGACCCAGCACTGAATTTATTCCATGGTTACCAACATCCCAAAAACGTTGTATACCCAAAGGTGTGTTCCCCAACAATTTGAACTGGGAGTTTAAAGGCAACCCAAAACAGATAATGTAATTATATGAATTATTTTATTCCATCAAATAAAGAGACATAATTTAACACACGTTAAAAACATACATAACATAGCAAAAAAACTGTCTATATGACTTGCTATGAGCTAAGACGACATGTTGCACCTTCTCCTACAACCCAGAAGGCAGTGAGAAGTGAATGAACTTCAGCAAGAACCCGATGCATTTCAGAACATAAGTCTTTCCTCAGGGGTATACTGAAGGGAAAGGATGGCCCGAAAAACAAACATTCTACAAAATGTAGTAAATATTAATCAGAATTAGCAAATCACATAAAGGAAATACAAATCAGGAACATATATAAATCTACAGCCTACATACCAGCTAATTTTCTTCTGGAATGTTATAGTTCCACAAAAAAAAGCATGAGACAGTCTTTTTCTGATATGCTCACCAGTAGCACCCTGGTGCACCAAGGGCTGGATGGTAAAGGGGAACTCAAAAGAAGGGGGGGCAGGACAACCAATCCCGAATGTGGGTGATCCGCTCACCTAGGGATCGCCTGAAAGGACAACAGACCCACTTACGTGGATGCAAGAGGTCAAGAAAGAGCCTATAAAAAATACAATATAAAGTCATTACTTTGCTGTCTGTCCCCATGAAGACAGCAGAAGAAAGAAAAATAAGCCATACCAACATTGTCACAATAGGTGTCTGAAATTAGTCTACTACAAACCAATGGCTTATAAACATATGAAACGTGTGTATCACGATAATGTATATATGCCACAGTAGCCTGGGACTATCTTAACTAAGTATTATGCGGACGCTTAAGATCCTCTCAGGGGACTATTCAAGATATTAAATGAACTTCATGTCTTATAGTAGATGTGTATACTAGCAATAAAGAGTCTAAACTTCTGTGAAAAAAGTGCAAGACTGCACCCCAATGGCCACAGGCTCTCTATAAATATGTATCAACAATATAAGTTAAATAGGGATCTAAGGGATTAGCTTTATATGTCACATAACAAGCAACCAAAAGAATAAAGCACTCCCCACTAATGGGAACCTCCCAAGAGGATTTGTGGAAGAATGTAGGGCCAAAAAAAGAGTAAATAGTTCTTGTTTACCTAAATTCCCCAATATTTCTCAGTGAGTGATCATGTCCAGTTAGTAGTGAAGTAGCATTCAGAAAATCTTCCATGTATTGCAAAATGTGAGGTTTAAATATGGTGTCTAAATGCCCGTGCATGCGCAATACCAACCCTGAGCAGCGCCATATTTAAACCTCACATTTTGCAATACATGGAAGATCTTCTGAATGCCACTTCACTACTAACTGGAGATGCTCACTCGCAGAGAAATATTGGAGAATTCAGGTGACAATGTTGGTATGGATTATTTTTCGTTCTTCTGCTGTCTTCATGAGAACAGACAGTAAAGTAATGGCTTTATATTGTAATTTTATAGGCTCTTTCTTGACCTCTTGCATCCACGCAAGTGGGTCTGTTGTCCTTTCAGGTGATCCCTGTATGAGAGGATAGCCCACGTTAGAGATTGATTCCCCCCCCCCCCCCCCTTCTTTTGAGTTCCCCTTTAGCATCCAGCCCTTGGTGCACCAGGATGCCACCGGTGAGCATATCAGAAAAAAGACTTTCTCATGTCTTTTTTTGTGCAACTATAACATTCCAGAAGAAAATTAGATGGTATGTAGGCTGTACATTTACTTTATTTCCTTTGTTATATGACTGCTAATTCTGATTCATATTTACTACATTTTGTAGAATGTTTTTCCGGCCACCTTTTCCCTTCAGCATACCCCTGAAGAAAGACATGTTCTGAAACGCGTCAAGTTCTTGCTGAAGTTCATTCACCTCTCACTGCCTTCTGGGTCGTAGGAGAAGGTGCAACACGTCGTCTCAGCTCATAGCAAGTCATATAGACAGTTCTTTTGCTATGTTATGTATGTTTTTAATGTGTGTGTTATGTGTTCAATTATGATGTCTCTATTTTTGGAATAAAATGATTCATATAATTACATTGTCTGTTTTGGGTTGCCTTTAAACTCCCAGTTCAAATTGTTGGGAAACACAACTTTGGGAACTCATCCTGCCCTTTCCTTCTATCACACATGTTCTGTGTCAACACTTAACATGCAGCACAACTTTTTAGCTCCCAGACCAGACCCCTTCTTCCAACCGGATTACATCTGTATAGGGATTGCAAGAGACATATACTAGACATTACCAGGTACCTACAGTAATTAAACTACTGTGTGTCTTTTATATCTGTCTAAAGTTCAACTTTATTCACCTGTAAATCCATAAAAACAGCCAAAGTGAAGAAGACGGGACAAAAAGAAAAAAAGTTTAACAGTATGCATTCAGAATGCAACAGTAATGCTGTATCATATAACAATGCCATACAGTTTTTACATTAATAACCTGTGTCATCTACGGTGTTTTATGATGAAAATCTTGCTATAATATTACAAAGTTCAGTCTGCTCCAGGAAGCATTCCTTGACCTACTCCAAAGTACTTCAGCACAAAGAAACAGATGGGGAAGGGAGAATACCTGCTATAAAAAAACAGATGACCATATATAATTCTTTATCACCATCTTTCTTTAGTATACCTTCACTATTCGCAGCTAAACGGAATGTGCGCCAACTGGTAAGACTACCGCCAGCACACAACTCTTACTTCATGTTTATCTGTCCTATAGTAAAACAAAGCAACGTCAATGCCATTGTAAATCTCATTCTGAGTGTGTTCTCTCTCTCTATTTATATACACACAGAAGCAGTGCACTAGGAGAGAGGTGTTAGGGCTACAGATCATCTCTTTATAACTTGGCGGAGGTGTTTTGTAGTTCATAGAGGTAGATGAGCAAGGTACAGTGCTTGTGATTTCAGTGCAGCAGTTGTACTTAGCACAGGAAGGAAGCTGCTCACTGGATTTCTTAGAGGACCAACAGGTATATTTGCACTTATCAAGCAGATATAACAAGACACTTTTAATTGTATATTTAAAAAAGGAAGTGCAGAGAAGTATATTGGTATGGTTTACATGAATTTTAACTTCAAGAGATTTGTCACAATCACAATGACTGGCTGCACTATTGATTAGATCAATGGATTCTATCCATTCTTTAAGACTTGAAGGATTGGTACTATTTTCTCTATGAAAAGATCATCGCCGAGGTTCTAGTTTTTATGATCTGGGTACCATTTGGGTGACAACAGGTTATCTAGTTCACTTGCAAGTAATTTTGTCTATTCTCGAATTTTGAAAAATAGTGTCAATGCCTACTTTTTAAAAAGGCATCAATGGTTTTAATTTTCAATTGGGCAGTGTGCATAAAACTAGAAGCTTAAATAGCACGTTAAACAAGGGATTTCCTGTGTGCTGAAGCAAAAAATCCCCAGTGCTTTCTGGCACTCCCGGGAGCCATTTGTGCCACATACAGCTGCTAATACAATTGAATGGCTGTATGCGGCTGTGCTCAGGTTAATGTCGACGGCTTCTGCAATGGCGTTTACCCATACATGCGTGTATTGTGCCTCTCCCCAAACACAAAGTGGCATGTTCTGGGAGAGGAGCCATACACGCATGTGTGGGTAAACACTGATGCAGAAGGCATTGCTATTAACTTGAGCACAGCCGTGTACAGTCATTCACCTTTACTGGTGGCTGTATGTGGCACAAGCAGCTCCCCAGGCATCAAAAAGCGCCTGGGATTTTCCATCTCAGTTTAGAGCTGCCAAATGTCCATATGCATGAGGCATTATGGTTTTTTTTGTTTTTGTGTTTTTTCCTTTCTGCATGCGTTTTATTTAAGTTAACCTTTCACAAAGCTGGGCCTTTCAAACTGAGGGTATGACTGAAAATTCATAATATGCAAATGGCGGGCTGATGGATACAACTGTCACACCAGAAAATTCAGCGTATCAGCTAGCTAAGACTGAAGAATGGAGATTAACTGACAACATAGGAACGTAGAAGAATCCCGTCTATGTTTAAGATCGATAGAAACCCCCAGATCTTCCTTTTTAAAGTGACCAATCAGGATCCCCCATACGGTCTCTGCAGGTGTATAGCGTGGTCTATATGGATGTCCTTTCTGCAGATTTCTTCAGTGCAGTGGAGGTGTGAAGAGTGGAAAAGGATACAACATTGGTAGAGCACATTTAGTTGGAGGAGTGCAGTGTTAATAAAGCGCTAAGAACCCACTTTTTGCAAAGGGGTCCTGGAGCTTCGGTGAGTGGGGTCCAATAGGCGGGAAGCACGAGTGTCAAAGAAGTTGAAAAATGGCATTTTACAGTTGGAGCACTTAACACAAAAGACTGCACTGCTTTAAGCACTTTTCAAGGACTGCACTATTTTAAGCACTTTGCATAAATAATTGCACTATTGTACTATTGTAAATGTTGATGACAAATATGGTTTATGCAAAGTATGGTTTACAGTATATTAAGGGAAGTGCAATATATCGCATATAAATAATGAGGGGGAACATTCACATATGGGCGGGGGGGGGGTTCCAATACACCAACACAATAGAGAAATCATTTGAGAATTTTGCAAAAGGGGAGGTGTATTGTAGCACTACACCATAAAGGTAGAAAACTGGTACCATTTATATCCCTGAACTAGGGAAATAAAAGCCGGTGTTTAAGCAGCTGCTCCTTTACATACCCCAGCAATTTCCATTAGCATGGTATATAGCATTGATTATACTAAACTAAACTGCGTGGCAAAACAGTCATAATCCGGTGGTGTATCCAACTTATAATGGTTTTACGGTTTCAAAACAATATTATATAGTTACAGTGGTGTAAATATAAGTTAGGCAGTCTAAAGCTGATGACACACAGGTGTTTCTGAGCTCTGCAGGCAGTTTCTTTGACCTCAAAGCTTTTTTTTTGATACAGTATGCATTGTCAGCTGTGAGGCCTTTAAAGGGTCCTTTCACAGGGGGTAGACTAGTTCAGCGGGGGATCTCTCCGCTGATCCCCGCTGAACAACGGAATGCCAGGTCTGTCTCCGCTCCACTGCTACAGAGCGGACACAGAGCATCTCCCTGTCCTCAATGGGCAGTCAGATGGAAACAGACCACCTGTCCATTTCCATCTGACCTGATCCAACGGATGGAAGGGGAATTGGACCCCCATCTGTCTCTTTTTTGCAGATTGGATGTCAGTGTGTTTAACCTCTTCGTGCCAAGCGCCTCCCGGTCCTTTAAGAGTCTCAGAAGCCAGGAGGCGAGGCAGCGGTTTTAGGGTCATGTGACCGCGGTGATTCGCCATCACATGATCGGAAAAGGTCCCGATCGAAAGAGGAGATTGGGACCTTTCCGGCAGTCGCGGACATACAGTTGTGTTCAAAATAATAGCAGTGTGTTGAAAAAAAGTGAATAAAGCTCAAAATCCTTCTAATAGCTTTTATTTCCATACACACAAATGCATTGGGAACACTACACATTCTAATCCAAATCAAAACATGAAGAAAAATATATCAAATTTGTGTTGTTCCTCTAAAAAAATTGAAGAAAAGTGATTAGACTGTTCAAAAAAATAGCAGTGTTTGTATTCTTCTTTATTCTTCTTTACAAACTCAAACATTCACTATATAAACTGAAAAAATGTTTGAAGATTTTGCTTTCCTTTGAATCGCTTAATGAATATTTAGTTGTATAAGCACTGTTTCTGAGAACTGCTGTACATCTGTGTTGCATGGAGTCAACCAACTTCTGGCACCTGTGAACAGGTATTCCAGCCCAGGATGATTGGACTACATTCCACAGTTCTTCTCTATTTCTTGTTTTGCCTCAGAAACTGCATTTTTGATGTCACCCCACAAGTTTTCTATTGGATTAAGATCCGGGGATTGGGCTGGCCACTCCATAACGTCAATCTTGTTGGTCTGGAACCAAGATGTTGCACGTTTACTGGTGTGTTTGGGGTCGTTGTCTTGTTGGAACACCCATTTCAAGGGCATTTCCTCTTCAGCATAAGGCAGCATGACCTCTTCCAGTATTCTGATGTATTCAAACTGATCCATGATCCCTGGTATGTGATAAATAGGCCCAACACCGTAGTATGAGAAACATCCCCATATCATGATGCTTGCACAACCATGCTTCACTGTCTTCACAGTGTACTGTGGCTTGAATTCAGTGTTTGGGGGTCGTCTGACAAACTGTCTCCGGCACTAGACCCAAAAAGGACAATCTTACTTTCATCAGTCCACAAAATGTTGCGCCATTTCTCTTTAGGCCAGTCAATGTGCTCTTTGGCAAATTGTAACCTCTTCAGCATGTCTTTTTTTCAACAGTGGGACTTTGCGGGGGCTTCTTGCAGATAGCTTGGCTTCACATAGGCGTCTTCTAATTGTAACAGTACTCACAGGTAACTTTAGACCTTCTTTGATCTTCCTGGAGCTGATTGTTGGCTGAGTCCTTGCCATTTTGGCTATTCTTCTATCCATTCGAATGGTAGTTTTTCACTTTCTTCCACGTTTTTCAGGTTTTGGTTGCCATTTTAAAGCATTTGCGATCATTTTAGCTGAGCAACCTATCATTTTCTGCACTTCTTTATATGTTTTCCCCTCTCCAATCAACTTTTTAATCAAGGTACGCTGTTCTTCTGAACAATGTCTGGAAGGACTCATTTTCCTCAGAATTTCAGAGAGAAATGCGCTGTAACCAGCATATACAACATTTGCTGCCTTCCTTCCTTAAATAAGGGCAATAATTGCCACCTGTTTTTCAAAGAATGAATGACCTCACTAATAGAACTCCACACTGCTATTATTTTGAACATGCCTCTTTCAATTAGTGATTCAATTACACAGAATCAGCAGCATGCATGTCATGACTGTTGGGTCTGTTTGATCCCTATTACTCTACTACACCTGCTAGTAAATTATTTGCCATGTAGAAATATCATTGCTACCAAAAACAGTGAATGATCAGGTTAGTGATGTCTGACTGCTAATATTTTGAACACAACTGTATGTGCTGGGAGCACACGCTCTCAGCACATATGTATTTTCTAATTGCACGCAAATATGCAGCCGCTTGGCGTCAAGGCCCAGATGCAGAGAGGCCGCATATTTGCGTGCGATCAGCGTCAAGGGGTTAAACAGACAAATGTCCATAGAGGAGAATGGAGGTTCTGATCGGGTCTGCCTGAAAAACAGGCAGGTAGACCCGATCAGAACATCCATGTGAAAGGGCCTAAAGAGAGGAGTGTGCCTTTCCAGATCATGTCTAATCAATTTATTTTACCACAGGTGGACTCCAATCAAAGTGTAGCAACATCTCAGTAACAATCAAGAGAAATAGGAGGCACCTAAGCTAAATTTCAAGTGTTGTTGCAAAGGGTCTAAATATTTATGCCAATATTTTTCCTTTTAGGCCTGGTTTACAACAATGTTTTTTTATTGCATTTTGCAGAAACGCACCAGTCCATTTAACATGGTTTCCTATGGGACATGTTCACATCTATGCGTTCTTCAGCCGCTGCAGTTTTGGAAAGGGTCAGGGACTTTTTTTAAATGCAAAAAGCAGCATTTTTGCTACAATAGAGTTCAATGGAGACAATGCTCTGAAACGCATGCAACGCTTTTATTATGCCCTGCAACAAACACATTTCCCCTTTAACAAAAAAAAAAAAAAAAAAAAAAGAAAAGAGAAAAAAACCCCCAAAACATAAAAACGCAACGCAAAAAGCATTGCAAAAAGGGATCAAAAGCAAACTGCATAGTTGTGAACCAGGCCTTTCCTACATTTGCAAACATTTCTAAAGTTCTGTTTTCACTTTGTCATTTAGGGTACTGAGTGCAGATTAAAGAGAAAAAAATGAATTTAAACAACTGTAATATCAGGCAGCAACATAACAAAAATTAAAAAGTGAAGGGGTCTGAATATTTTATGAATGCACTATATATTAAGCTAAAAAGCACACAAGTCAACACCTCCAAGGTAACTTGCAATTGTATACTAACTGCAAAAGACTTACCACCAGTTGTATTCTTCCAACAATACAACAAGGTGTGGATTAAAATGATTGATTTTAAACCCAATTACCTGCTGGGACAGGATAGTAACTGCTTCTTTGTGTTTAGCATCTCTCAAATTTATGCCATTTTACTGCCAAAATTGCATCGCCAACATGAAGTCCACCACAACGGTCAGCTGGCTGTGCTGGGTGAATTTCTGATATAAGAATTGGTACTCCATGTTCTTTTCCCCCCTAAACAAATAAAAACAAAAGAAGTAGTAAGACATTTTTTTTTTTAAATACATGTTACATTAGTAAGAATATAATAGTTTTAAGAACACAGCTCTGTTCAAGGAAACAAATATTAGCTGCCTAATCAACTGATAATTCTTATTCTATCCAGTTTTTTTAAATATAAAAAAAGGAAACAAAATGTATTTGTACATACAATTAGCATAAGCACTTCTTGAAATCAGCCTCTTATGATCCCTTTCACAGCACTCAGAGTGATGAGCTCCTATGTGTGTTGCTGCTCTCTCATTGCCCAACTGAACTGGTTTCTAGATCAGGTTATACAGGTGAAACTCGAAAAATTAGAATATCGTGCAAAAGTTCATTTATTTCAGTAATGCAACTTAAAAGATGAAACTAATATATGAGATAGACTCATTACATGCAAAGCAAGATAGTTCAAGCCGTGATTGGTCATAATTGTGAAATTAGTTTTTAATTAAAAACTCAGTTTTTTTTTTTTTTTTCCTTTCATTGCTCAAATTAGGCCCCAACCCCCGTGACCAGGCAGCTATAAAAAGTCTGAAATCTACACAGCTAAACCCACTGTGCCCACCTCCTTTTCAAAGGTAAGAATTTGAAACGGATCTATATACTAAAATACATTCTAAATATATAAAAGCTGCATATACAGTATGTGAGATCCATATTACTTACTGTGATAGATATACCAAGTCCTTCATGATCTTCTTTAACCAAAATAACTTTTCTGATTGGCCCAACTCCTTGACTTTTCTTTAAGCATTCTGGGTCCTGCTGATGCAAAAGGAAACATCTAGAACGTTGTACAAATAGGTGACAAAGCCCAACTAGTGTACTTAGCTTTATGCAACAAATAATATCAATGTAGGTTAAGGTTTTAAAGGTTTGTGTTAATAAGTATAGTTTGCAATCAGTATATACTAAGAGGCAGCTATAATTGCCCATAACATACAGAATATGCTTTCTGCTTAGCAGGTCTGCAAAGTGACTGCTAATTAACTGTTCTTCTCTTTGTATGACTAATTTTACTAGCAATTTATTTCCCACGCTGTGGTGCATGCTCAGTGTAGTGTACACTCACAGCATCTGTAAAGTCCCATTCACATAAGGTGGTTTGAAATTTGGTAGGAAGAAGATATTGCATATTTGTATTTTATATGAATCAGGTAGTTATCTGCCTAAATTTCAGCTTTACAATGATTCTGTGCTGTGTCCATGTAAGACAATGGAACAGGTTCACTTCAATGCAGACCTCCAGAGACATATGCTTACCTACCTTTCACTTCCCTGCCAAAAATAAGAGCAAAGCCCTGTATGAGTTTCACACAGAGGGGAAAAAAAAATTTAAAAAAAAGAATAAAAAAAAAAAAAAAACTTGACAGGGGTTATAGCATTCCATTAAGTCATACAAAAGGAAATGAAAGTTGCAATTTGGAGTTTACACAGAGCTAAGTACTCCTTTTCCACCTCCATGTGACAGCATTGGGTATCTAAGTGCCCAATAACGGTGGAAAAAAAAGCAGATCACATGCTCCCCATGCCTAAAATTACTTGTTTTTGCTTTCTGCTCTAGGAGACTAAGTGCAATGGCAAGGGGTGTGAATGAAAGGCAAACCCTTAACCCATTGGTAAGCTTGCAATTTAAAGATTTTGCATTGCCTACTATGAGCAAGACACAAATTCACTTCAAAAAACATCTGTCAAGAGAGAAACAAAAACTGCAATCATTCCTGTTCTTCTGCAAATGCTGGTTGCATGCTATTTTTACCGTTATACTTCAATACTGCAAGCACACAACTTTGACTTTGGTCATGTGATCTGACTTCTGGCAATCACACTGTATTTTGCGGTCGGTTTCAGGGTGTCATTAAAACATCGACACCCACAGCAGAACAAGCAGACTCTGTGTGATTGCAATGCGGTGTGAGAATTGCACAGGATTCTCTGCATTTCCCGCATCACATCAGTGTGAACCAGGTCTGAATAAATGATGCATTGTGTGGGAGGAGCTCCATGCAGCCACATTATTTTCAAAAAGTAACAGCAGGGGCGGGGAGAGGAACCCTTACCCAGTGACAGAGTGGGGAGAGCTGGCAGCTGGAGGTGGGTGCATGAGAGCATGTTATAGGTCACCCCCACATATCGATATAACATGCTCCCTAAAGGTGAACTTATCCTTTAAAATATTAGTTTAGTGCCCTGTTGTATGCTTAACAAGGCAGCTTTAAAAAAAAAAAAAAAAATCTCTGAAAAGCATAGCAAATATGATGCTCTTTTTAACAATAGGACAGCATACAATAGCTATAGCAAACATATTTTATAGAAAATAGCAAACCTACATGTCCTGGAGGAGCTGGCAGAGGGCGCTTCAAATCATTTCGCCCTCGACAGGCTCTGATAACGGTTTTATGTCTGTGTAAGTGAATTTCAGCCTCAAGCTGATTCCATAGCTTGTCATGTGCAGGACCCTTCATATCTCGACCAAGCAACTGAATTTGCTGGACCCTTAATGAAGATAGAAAAATGGAATTTCATTATAGCATGTAAATTCATTTTTTCATTTGGACTTTCAAGTGGTTGTAAAGGCAGACATTTTTTTCCTTAATGCATTATCTGCATTAAAGTAAAATACCTTCTGTGATCAGTTAAGCCCAACAAATACTTACCTAGCCCATTCTCAATCCAGCGCTGTGCCTGAGAACAGTAGCACAGTCCGCTTTCACCTCACTGGACATGGAGACAGCAGCAAGAACCACTGGCCCCTGTTGATCTCAATTAAATCCTGTGAAAAGGAAGTGTGTGTGTTTGCAAGCAGAGCCACATTGTGTGTATATAAACACATTCAACATGCAAAATATATATATATATATATATAAATGTATTGAATATGGCCAAAATTGTAGCATTTCAAATATATGTCAATATATTTGGGAAGAATATTTTTCAAATATATTTTTCTTCCATATGGGTCCATAGATCCATAGAGTGTAGCCACCATAGGACAGACACACACAAAAAAATAATATATTTTTAAAATAAATCACAAGAGGCTGCTAAACAGAAAAACAGAATTAGTACACTTTGGCAGGTAAAATGATTCACATGCATATATATTTCAGTTTCATAATATTATCCTATCACAGCTATGCAGCTTTCCCTTTCATCCGCCTGTTCAATAAGCAATTAACAATGGCTCAATGGACAGTGTGATTACACTGGTTCACTGTCCAACAAACAGACAGGAGAAACAAGAAGCCAAAACGGAAAATAGTGGTGTTACCTTCCTTTACATGAGCTATAAATTTAGTTTTAATGTAAACAAGAATGAGTGTAGTGAAGAAAAAGCAGCAACAGACAGTTGTAGCACAACCCTGATGGGGGGGGGGGGGGCTTTGGGGGGCGATATCGCTCTTACCTTCCAGCCAGTTCTTTATCCAAGTACTTAGCAGCCAGCCTTGCTCCATACACCTCTGCCTGGAGTACAGCGATATGTCTGCGAAGAGCTTCATTTTCTTTTCTAAGCAATTTAACTTCTGCCTCCAGCTGTGCTTCCTTTACCTTCTCCTTCTTGTTGGCCTCCAGTTCTTTTTCCTACATCATCACATTTAACAGTGAATGTTACAATAAAAGCAATCTGTACTAGAAGTATGATGGTTGAACTGCTGACCTCTCCTTCTGAAAATGTATGTATGGCTGTCATGCTGACCCAGTGGTTTAGAATGCAGATAAGGAGTTCTGACTCTCCTCATCTACATGTTTGTTCCCAACTCAGAATAAAGCATTTTCAGAAGAATAGCATCAATAGTCTTAGTTTTTCTCTCATGACAGTTTTTTTAAAGAATGCAAAAAAAAAAAAAAAAAAAAAAAAAAAGCTAGAAAAGTGATATGGGATCAGAAATAAGACTCTTTGTAGTTTCACAGCTGTACCTGTCAATGTCAAAATACACTAATCAGTGGCTGATGGTCCCAAAATTCTCTGTCATGTCCCTCTGACAGAGGCTGATTAAACTAATTGACTTCTGTAAAGAGGGGGAGACCACATACTGATAAAACATTCTGCCAGTCCCTGCTATACCAGTCAAACTTTGGCCAGTGTATGGCCAGCTTTAGATTTTAAGCTTCTTGAGGGCAAGCACTGATGTGAATGTACAATATGTTACAATCTGCATGTACTAATCAGAGCTATATAAATACCAGTGATAGATAAATACTAATATTTATTTGATCCTAGTTTCCCATAACACCCAAGTACCACAGTATTAGCTGTGACTAATAATGACATGAAGACAATTCATATGACAAAACAAAAATAAATAAAAAACTAAACTATGGTTCCAGGCTAAAATACACATGCCTGTAATCTAAAGCAAACGATTAAACCGGTTAGCATAAAACAACATAAAACCCGTGAAGGAACAGCACACAGGTGTGTGTCTACTGCTACAAATTTATTTCTTTATAGAATACCCCTTGTAGTAAACAAATGACTTGGCTTTTTGTTTTTACAGGAAGGTAGAAATAAACTTTCTGTATAGACTGAGAAACTAGATGAGGCAATACACACTAAACAGTGATGCAAAATGCAGGCACAGGACTCATAAATGTTATAACATGAACCAGCTACAGCTCAACTTTTATTAGTGTAACCACATCAAACTACTGCAACCAATTAGTCAATTGTGAGTTTTGATTGTCATTTAAAGCAAAAATATATCTTAAATATTTTTAAAGTGTTTTATTTAAATATAACTGTCTGACTGCTCTGTTAAAGATCTAAGCTTGCTGAATGATCTTCGGCATCCAGTACATTTCTGGCATTGCAGCAACCTTGTACCCCATTGCACTTTGTTTTTCTGCAGCACTACTGTGTCTTGCAATGAAGTATGGGTCAGTGGAGAAAACCAAAGAAACACAGAGGAGGGCGCCAGCATCTAATACTCTTGTAAATTTAGAATAGAACATTTTTTTGCTGCTCTTTAAAAATCACCTTTTAGAAAAAAAAATTAAAGCACTTTCTTGCTGGTAAAAAAAAGATGCATTTATTATTTGTTTTCTAAGCAGCCTGTAAAGGATTGCACCAGCGATCAGCAGATCGTGGGTGCAATGTCAGACCCCTTCAGGCTCTCAGGATAGCTGTTTGCTATTAACTATGAGAAAGCTCATCAGTGTCCTCATAGTTCATTGATAACCAAAAGCTAGCAGCCGCAATGGCTGATGGTACTTGTAGTTGATTTATTCACAGGAAAGTGAACAAATGAAAAAGCTGTGCAGTCAGATCCCGCACAGCCGCGCTGTTTTTAAACTGGCAGCAAGTCCGGGGAGAGAATTCCCCCTCATGCTGTCACAAGGAGGGGGGATTGGGTGAAGAAGGTGCCAACGCCACCTAAAAATAGGTGGAACAAGTAACATGTTCCAAAAGTGGACTTACCCTTTAACACTGAGGAGTCTGAAGGCGCAGGCAGTGAGACAGGCAAGTATTAAAGGTTTTCTTTGCAGTGATGCCATTAATTTACGTTTTCAAAATAACGACAGAATTGCTTTCACATTATGTTTGTTTAGCTGTACTGCTTAATAGTTTTAATCTCTTTACAGTATCATCTATAACAGGTAGGTGATGCTTTAAAAATTTCTACAGGTTAGCAGTATAAAGTTACAGAGGAGGTCTAGTGCTAGAACTATTGAAGCTCTGACGTTCGTGGCGAAACCTCACGTGTGGTTTGAACACCATTTACATATGTGGGCATGGCCTACGTATGTGTTCACCACTACGTGCGAGCACGGGGGCACTTTAAACTTTTTTTAAAAAAATGTATTTAAATGTTTGTTTTTTTGCACTGTCCCTTTTAAAAAAAAATTTAATCACTTTTATTGTTATCACAAGAAATGCATGCATCCCTTGTGATATAAATAATTAGTGACAGGTCCATTTTATGGAGAGATATGGGGTCAATAAGACCCCACTTCTCTCCTCTGCAATGTAAAGCATTGGATAAAAAAAAAAAAAAGCATTGAACAAGTGTTGGCAGCTTTGAAGGGCGATGTTTTTTTGGCACCTGTATCAGTGCTTTTTTTCCTTTGCGGTCAACAGCCAAAAGGGGTGTTTTCAGCCGAAACGTTTTGGCGCATCCCTAGTTATCATGTGACCACTTCTGTCTACATTACAAATATATCTGACCTGGTCTATCTGCAAAATAGTCAAGACAAAAGATTTTTTTTTTTTTTTTTTAATTAACTAGCAAGCCCCCAGTAGTAGTAGTGGATAGGGCAGTGTACAAAGGTCAGTAAGATGTTTTCCATTGTACAGTAAGATGCAGGGCAATTATGGATCAGCAGGGACTCAAATGCGATCTACCTGTCACCTGCCTATGGTTGACAGGCAGATTGCAATTGTCAGGTTGCTGACCCCCACCTTAGAGAAAAGCCATTACTACTTACAACAGTCTGATCATGAAGGCAGGAGAAAATTATTTCGTATTAAAATGTTTTTGAGTAGAACTGCTGCCAGGCAATAAGCATTCAACTATTTACATATTATTAACCACCTCCCTTCCGGCCGTTGTATATAAACGGCCAAACGGTGGCAGTGCAGGGTCGCGTGGCTGTTTATAAACGGCCTCCCCGCACCCTGCTTGTGCGCGCTCCCTGGGAGCACGCAGCACCGCGATCCGGTGCCCACTGTGTCCTCCGAACACAGTGGAACACCGATCATCGGACGGGACCTCTGTACGTGGTCCCGATCATGTGATCACTGATAGGCCAATCAGTGATCACATGCACAGTAGTAAGCAAGATGTCACTTGTGATATCATTGCTTAATACGTGTGAAATCTGTGAATGATCACAGAAGTCACATGGTACAAGGCTATTCACAACAGCCTTGTACCATGTGACAAGCTGTGACCAATCACAGCTCACTCAGTAATTCTCAATGGCTGCAAGAATGCAGCTAGAGAGGAGAAATGATTGCTTTTACATCCTTTATGGGTGTAAAAGCAAATCAATCAGTGTAAAAAAAAAAAAAAAAAAAAAAAAAAAAATGGTGACACTGTACTGCTAGGGTGACAGTATTTAAAAAATAAATAAAAATAATATAAAAAAAAGTAAAAACAAAAAGTTTAAAAATTATACTTTTTTGGTTATAAACTAATTTGGTTTTTTTTTTTTTTTTTTTTTAAACTAAAAATAAAAAAACAGAATAAAATTTTGGCCAAGATTTATGGTGAAATACTATTTATTTGCAAAATTTTATAAGCAAAACACTTTTTTTTCAAAAATTTGGACATTTTAATTTACATAGCAAAAAAAATAAAAATCCCAGTGGTGAATAAATACCACCAAACTAAAGCTTTATCTGTCTCAAAAAAATGCGAAAAAATGAATATGGGTACAGTGTTGCATGACCGCGCAATTGTCATTCAAAGTGTGATAGCACTGGAAGCTGAAAATTGACCTGGACAGGAAGGGGGTGAAAGTGTCCAGACTGGAAGTGGTTAACAAACATTAAAAAGACTTTGGGATGGAGGTACAGAGGGGGATGATTTCAAAGTGACTTGGCTACCTGTCAGCCTTCTAAACTGAAATATAGAACCAAGAACAGGTGTAGAGGAAGAAGTGAGATAGGAGAGTGCCGAGACCAGACGTAAAGGAATACATTGGATCTTTGAAGTTTCACTGCTACACATAGGGGTTGATTTACTAAAACTGGAGAGTACAAAATCTGATACAGCTGTACTTGGTAGCCATTCAGCTTCTAACTTCAGCTTTTTCAACAAAAGCTTTAACCAAAGAAAAAAAAAAAAAAAAAAAAAAAAAAGACAAAAACTGGATGCCTACTGGTTTCTATGCAAAGCTGCACTAAACTGAAGGGGTGCCATTGAAAAGAATGGGCTGTGACTTGTAATGCCAGTTTGGACATCAAATTTGCATCACAAGTGTGAATGGAGCCATAGTAAATCTAAATCTACCCCCACTGCTTGCAGCTACAGAATGTCATGAGGGCTTGTTTCAAAGCTCATGTACTGCTTTTGAAGAATATGTAAATACATGGCTGTAAATAGCCTGCCCATGGTTACATTTACCTAACAAAGCCCCTGGAGTTGTATTTGTGGAAGGTTGGCCTCACTAAGATTAATACAACTACACAAAGTCAGATAACAGGTTAGTGCTACAGATGGTGACAGAAAGGTGTCATACTCACCATGACTTCCAGAGTAGGGACAGACTTAAGGCAAGAGGAGAAAGAGACATTTCTGGTTAGGCTAGACATTGTTAGAAAAACAGGATGGAGCATTAGAAAAAAAGAACTCTGAAAAAGTCTGACAAAGCAGTTGAACTGTTTAAAGGGTTAGTTCCCCTCTACCAAAAAACAGCCTATGCAGATAAGGAGTGTTTGCAGATAAAAACAGCTTTGATAAAGGTAGATAATTGCCCTTGCTATAGGTGTAGGCCATTTACACACCTCATGAAGCCTGACTGGAATACTCCCAGGACGTCCGTTGCTAAGTGAGTCCTAGTCCTCATTGCTCAGCTCCACTATCACAGGAGTGAGCTCTCAAATGTTGAGCTCAGAGCTACTGCACCAGAGGAGAGAAAGGGGGGTTTGCATCAGAAAAAAGAACTGATTCCTGTGATAGTGGAGGTGAGCAGTAATGACTAGGCCTTACTTGGCAACATCCTGGGAGTATTCCAGTCAGGCTTCGGGAGGTATGTAAATGGTCTACACCTGTAATAAGAGCATTATTCAACTTTAGTCAGAGCAGTACATCTACAAAGCACCCCTTACCAGCATAGGCAGTTTTTTTTTTGCAAAAGATGAACCCCTAAAGATCAGCCTAATTATAAAAAGCAAAGCAAATAACACAAGTTTACTGTCATAAAAAAACCTCAACAAAAAATGTTAAAGTTGAATTTCAGCCTCACCATCAGTGTTGTACATCTGTACAGGCTCCTTCCCTGTACTGAAATGACTTTCACTCACTGCACACTCTAAGCTCAGACTGTGCATTAGAATCTGCAGCAATTCAGATACAGCCCACCTCATTTCCTGGCTAGAGAACATCCAGATTCATCTAGCCCTCTACCTTCCCAGTCTTACGGTCTCTGGTCTGACCTTTCATTTATTGGATGTGAATACTTTCAAGCATGAAGACTCATCACATGTAAATGTTATCAAGGACAGTCTGCATGCAAATGCAGTCTACCTAAGAACTTCTACTCCTCCAGACCAACATCTACCCATCAAGGAATTTGGATATTTGCACAACTCTTCCCAAGAGTCCGCACAGTGTTGCATAATGGCTGAAGGCTCTTGAGAGGAGTACTGAAGCATGGTGCTGTGATGCCCGATAGCCCCTCCCAACAGCCATGATCTGCCTTCATTACATAGAGGCCTAATGGTGACTTCACTAGGTCTAAAATAAGGTATGTAGTAAAATTGCACAAGTTTCACTTCAATATTAGCATGCTGATCAGAGAGAAAACAGAATGTAAACACAAAAATAGAAAGGGGTAAGAAAACAAAATAAAAAGTAAAGACAAAAAAATATATAAGTGGTAAGATTAAACCAAGAAGAAAGGCATTTAAAGCACTACACATTCTAACCATATATACACACAACACGCCCAAAGTTACAGAATATACTAACTCAACTGTACAACAAATCCTAGTTATCGCATTAGTGAAATGCTTTTTTTTCAGAATAACGCAGAATATAACCTTTAGGCCACCTTCTCACACACACACACACACACACGATTACTTGTAAACCCTGAATTCCAGCAGTAAGAATCAACAGAATCTTTCAGCTGGAACAACATGTGTATGCAAACAGCGGCAGCTGATCAGCCTGTAAAAAAACAATGACAGGCTAACAGCAGCCATTGCTATTTTGAATGTAGCCGCACCAACAGTTAAGGACAGATATCCAAGCCTAGACACAAATGTTTGCATACCCCTGTCATTCTAGCTGTTAAACTCTGCTGATTCTTGCTGCAGGAATCCAGTGTATGCAAGTAATCGCTGATGTGAAGAAGGTCCATAACCTACACTACTAAGAATTGACATTTTTTTGGTAATCTGCTCAAAAATGAAAACTAAAGCTAGTTTCTCATCTCTCTTGGAGTTTGGCAAGAATTTCTGTAACAGCTTGTATTTCCATCATCTCCCATATGACCACAACTCTGTTCCAATGGATTTTGTTATCAGAGAATTACCTTCACTCCCGCAGACAAGAAAAATAATAAATCTGTCCAAAGTAAGGGAAATCATTTCAGACAGTTGTCATCAGAAAAAGTACCCCATATTGGAAGAATTCCCCTCTTTGCTGATATTCCTTCAATTTCAGTCCTGGTGGCAATGGTCACCAGGACACAGAGAGTGAATCTACTCAGCAGGGACACAGACAGCAATAAAAACCCAACAGAAATTAAAAAAAAAAAAAAAGACAGGCCAAAACTAAAAGAAAAAAAAAAGGCTTTAAATACACTTAAAGGACTATCTTCTATATTAAGAAAATCGAAACCCAAATGTTTTTTTTTTAGTTTTTAAGTGGTGAGGGGATAAAATCCCTATCAGGTGTTTCTTGCTCTCTGTGTCCCTGTTAGGGAGAATTCCTCTATTTGTCCCGGTGACCATTATCACTGGGACTGCGAGTCTCCAGAAGAGAAATAGATAGGAAATATTCCAACAAGGACACTTTTTTCAGTTAGGGTATTCCCCATATATTCAAGAGGTTTCCTTTTAGTTCCTGTTTCTACAGGACCAGAAGTGAAGGGAAACTGCCTCATTAGGGAGCAAATGGCAAAAAAAAAAAAGAAAGGGTTTTTTTTAATGCTTCCCTAATCTACCCATGAAAAAAATGGCACTATGTGCATATTAAAGTAGAACTGTAGGCAATAATATTTTATCATTTTGAAAAGAGCAAGGGAGGGTTATAACCTCTGTCAGTTTGTTTTCTGCCATCTGGGTTCCATTAGGGAGATTTACCTTCACTTCCTGTCCCATAGCTGAAACAGGAAGTGAGAAAATCTCTGAAAATTAAGGGAATTCTCTGGGGACCTTCAGGTCGCCAAACTAATTTCCCTATTGGAAGATTTTCCCTCTATTACTTTCCTGGGGATAACACAAAATTAGGGGTTTCTTTTATTTTCTCTTTTGACAATAATGGTAAACAGGACAAATAGGGTGAATCTCCCTAACAGGAGCATAGACAGCAATTAAAACCTAATAGGTGTTCTAAACCATTCCCACTCTATTCAAAACTAAAAATAAATAAAAACATTTTCTCCTTTAGTTATACTTTAAGAAGAATCGATTTGGTGAAAGTGGCACCTGTTATCTTTGTATATTTATGTGGGCAGCGAAGCAGGCACAGCAATCCTCAGAAAATATGAAAAATCAAAAAGTGTGTGGTATAAATTGCCAGTGCCAGCAGAAGTTTAAATATCACTTTAGGATGAGTTGACTTTCAATTGTCTACTTTTTTTTTTTATAAATATAGCCATTCAAAAACTGTAACAAGGTGGGTTTCCATCTTACCAGTTTGGCTTTGATCGCTCCTGAATCCACATTTTGTCCTGTCTTGGAATGCAGCTGTAATTGCACAGCATGGAGTTGAAGCAACTGATCATGCACCTCTTTCTCCAGCACCACCTTTTCTGCTTGATTCTCTGTCAGCTCCGACTTCAAATCTACAAGCTGAGCCTGCAAAATTGAAGAAATGTTTACATTTTAAGGATGGCAGCAACATCCAGTCCATTAACCAGTGTGTCTTAAGAGTTGAATATACACTGTAGGTTAGGAGACAGGTCTTGGAAATAAATAAATATAGCACAAGGGAAAGAAGAACACACATAAAATTTCAACTGTCACAGAGAGGAAAAACAAAAACATTCTTACTTAACACATAAGGGTCTATTTATTAAAAAAACGAAAAGCTAATGTGTCCTGCGAAACGCCATCATCCCGCCTCTCCCCCTCATTCAATCACTGTTTGCACCACATGCATTGAGTAATATGAAAGGTGTTGTGTGAATGGCACCCATGCCAAAGAAAGCAACACCCGCCAGAGGACCCAGAAGTGTGCAGCGGTCACAGTAGTTGCGGTGACTACTACAATAAGCCTCCACTGTTCCAGCAGTCTTACAGGAAAGTCATATTTACATTGGCCCATCTGAACCTACGTAACTAAGAAATAAAAACCATGCCTGGAATTTACCTTCAACTGGGAGTACAAAAATAAAGGCCAAGTTAACTTTAACTACAAGTAGTTCTAGTTGTAACCTATTCAAACCAAGTTGGTTTTTGATGAGAAAATCCCTTTCAATGAACCATGTACCTGTACATCAGCCCTTCTTCTGGGTTCAGGGTATGCATGTGACGCCCCCAACCCCCTCCCAGGGAACAAACAGAATTTTAGTAAAAAGCAGCACACATTACACACATCAAAGCTTGTTAGGCAAACACATATACATATATATACATACACACACACATACACACACACACACACACACACACACACACATATATATATATACACATACACACACAGTGGGGCAAAAAAGTATTTAGTCAGCCACCAATTGTGCAAGTTCTCCCACTTAAAAAGATGAGAGAGGCCTGTAATTGGCATCATAGGTAGACCTCAACTATGAGAGACAAAATGAGAAAACAAATCCAGACAATCACATTGGCTGATTTGGAAAGAATTTATTTGCAAACTATGGTGGAAAATAAGTATTTGGTCACCTACAAACAAGCAAGATTTCTGTCTCTCACAGACCTGTCCCTTCTTCTTTAAGAGGCTCCTCTGTCCTGCACTCATCACCTGTATCAATGGCACCTGTTTGAACTTGTTATCAGTATAAAAGACACCTGTCCACAACCTCAAACAGTCACACTCCGAACTCCACTATAGTGAAGACCAAAGAGCTGTCGAAGGACACCAGAAAAAAAATTGTAGACCTGCACCAGGCTGGGAAGACTGAATCTGCAATAGGCAAGCAGCTTGGTGTGAACAAATCAACTGTGGGAGCAATAATTAGAAAATGGAAGACATACAAGACCACTGATAATCTCCCTCGATCTGGGGCTCCACGCAAGATCTCACCCCATGGGGTCAAAATGATCACAAGAACGGTGAGCAAAAATCCCAGGACCACATGGGGGACCTAGTGAATGACCTGCAGAGAGCTGGGACCAACGTAACAAAGGTTACCATCAGTAACACACTACGCCGCCAGGGACTCCTGCAGTGCCAGACGTGTCCCCCTGCTTAAGCCAGTACATGGCCCATCTGAGGTTTGCTAGAGAGCATTTGGATGATCCAGAAGAGGATTGGGAGAATGTCATATGGTCAGATGAAACCAAAATAAAACTGTTTGGTAGAAACACAACTCGTCGTGTTTGGAGGAGAGAGAATGCTGAGTTGCATCCAAAGAACACCATACCTACTGTGAAGCATGGGGGTGGCAACATCATGCTTTGGGGCTGTTTCTCTATTTGTGTGAATAAAAAAGATAACATTTAATTTGGGTAAATCGTTGCATGACACCGCAATCAGCAGTTAAAGTAAGCAAATTCCTACTCAGGCTGATCACAATTAATTATGATGTTCTCACTGAATGCCAAACAGCATACTAGCACCTTATGACAGACTTAACTGTGAAATGGATCCCTCCAGTGGCACACTGTCACCGCTGACAGCGAATATTCACCCAGTGTTCCTTCTGGGTTCACAGGCTCTGGCCGTTTGAATGGCCGAGCCACAATGACATCACTCGAGGAGTCATGGGCGCAAAACAGCTCCGGTGGTGCCACCAGCTGCTACAAATATCTTCTAAAATGATGCAAGTTTAGGATATATTTACTATACTTATAGGTAAGCCTTATTATAGGCTTACTGTAGGTACAGCTTACACATTAATTTATTTATTTATTTCAGGTATTTATATAGCGCCGTCCATTTACGCAGTGCTTTACATATATATTGTACATTCACATCAGTCCCTAACCCTCAAGGGGTGTACAATCTAAGATATACATGGCTGTTTATAACGACTTTAAGACTACATACTTGAATAGACTTTTTTTTTTTTTTTAAACCAGAGTTCATTGTCACTTTATTTATTGGAATGGGCACAACTCTATAAAACCTTGCAAAAAAAAAAAAAAAAGTAGTCCGGGTTGACATATACTGTGTTTTGTTGTACTTGGACACACACTTGATTGACCTTAAAGAAAATGTAACCCCAATAATTCATATTGCTCATATGTGCCTGCTGTACCATGAACGTGTATAAAAAAATATCCCGTTCTTTGTATTGATTCCTCTGTGTGATACCCCTAATGTTTCTGCCAGTCCCTCTGCTTTCCTATTAAAAACTGACCAAACTAGGCGGGAGAGTGCAGCATGGTCAATTTTCTAGGTGTGCTGGAACTCTGTGTGTGCTGTCTTCCAATGATCAGGCTTGTGATGACACACACACCCGCACTGCACAGTCATTCACTGGGAATGTTAAGAGGGAATTTGATCACTTATAAAGAAAGGAAAAAAAGGCATATATATTTATTTTTTTTAATATATATATATATTTATACACAAATGTTTCACTTCTATTTTAAACGCAATGAGTTGTTTTACAAGGTGATGGTTTACATATACTTTAACTATCCCCATCTGTTTGGGTTTGTTAGGAATTTAGATTGAGCTTGGTTGAGATTTATACAGCTGACTTAAACAACTAATGTTATTTACCAGATTAACTAACTAAATAGAGAATTACTGGATAGTAATTTTTTTTATTAATTATCTGCAAGCAAATCATTGTGTCAATGCCTGATTTCCTTACTCTGTCCTCCATATTAATCAAATATGAACAGTAAGATCTTAAATTTCATATGAATCCAGCCACATATAAGCATATTCAGTTCTAACTTCTTCACAATAACTCATGTAAAATGGAACTTCCCCAAATCACAATCTTACACAGTCACTAAATGAAAGTCTAGGTCTTGCATGTGATGTGGAGTCAAACTTGAGCAGTCGTTGTGGTCTGCTGCTATATATACACAGCTTCCCCATTTAACATTCCCTTGAAATATGATTGCTTGGCAATTTCTTTTTCCCAGGAAATCTTGCTAAGATATGGCTGAACCCTGAAACAACTACTTGCAAATTACATCAGCACATCATTGGTAATTTTTTTAAATTTAGGTTACCATATCTACTTTAAAGTGTTATGAAACACACAACAGTAAAATCAGTCTGTATATGCAGTAAAGCATGCTTGTTATACTCACTGTGGAACCTAAGGGGTTAATCCTCTGCATTGTGTAAAAAGGATGTTTGATCCTGACTTCTATGATACTCCCCCTTCTTCTACTGTCCCCATTCCATCTGCTGGATAGAACAGAGCCTTGAAGGCAAGCTGCACATGCATAGTTTGCTGTGTATTGCTAGAGAGGTTTTTTTTTTTTTCTTGGGAGTGCGCATGTGATCAGCACAGGCCCAATCAGCGCTGTCTATACAGATGGTCTGGAGTCCAGCAGCCTCATAGGACAATCAGAGGAGAATGAAAACTCCTCCTACAAGCTTTAACCAGTGCTCTGCTGGATACTGATAGAGCAGTCTTGTGATTTCTAACTGCTGATAAAAAAAAAAAGGTATTTAGCAGTTTATATGTACTAAAATAACTGCATTGTATGTTCTGTGTACTGTGGGAGACCAGATATTAAACCCAGGACCCTGCATTCATTATAACACTTTAAGTGGACCTGAACTCTAGACAACCATACCCTGTTCAATTCCTGGTATAGGAGGGTGTCTTTGGCACTCTTGTGTAACTGTATATCTGTAATGTGAGATCATTTGTAAAGGTTAGTTTCAAATTTGTAATGAGGTTTGGTGAGGTCACTACTGTGTTGCTTGCTGGAGTGGAGATCCCTGCTTCTGCTTCATTCATTATGTGGTTCTGTGCTTTGTGAACATCTCCTGCTGCTTCCTATTATATTTCCACACAAGTAGATCACCAGTCACCAGCTCTGATATGAGGGAGCAACTTCCTTCTCCACTGGTACAGAGAGTGCATAGCAGAGCATGCCAAGATCAATAGTGGGGAAAACTTCAGCTGTAGGGAGCCTACAGGTAATACCGGAGGCTAGTCATGTGCCCACTTGCTTGTCCTTTTCAAGCATAATTTTCACAGTACAGATGCCCTAATGAAAATAAAATATATTCCTGTTAAAAACACACACACTTTAGGATTCTATTTATAAATGTCTTCACCCAAGATTCACACAACTTTCACCCAGAATTTATTCAATTTTCCAGTTGAAGCCAATCATTAAAATGTGTAAATTTGAAATGGGAAAAACCTTTGTAAACAGACCCTAGGTCATAATTCTATGTCAAGGCATCTGTTTGGTGATAATCTCTATGAAAGCACCCAAAGTTGCTTAAAAAAAAAAAAAAAAAAAATTCCTAAAAAGCACAAAAAAAAAAAAAATAATAATAATAATATGGAAACACTACACGATTTGCAGGTAAGTTACTACATGTTTCACATTGAAAGCGAAAGTGATGTAACATTCTTTTGCTTCCGCTGTATGATGAGACACCTGCCTAACAGGTGGGAAGCCTCGTTTCTGCCAGTAATACAGAGTCATGTCATAGCTCACTGAACTTCTAAGGGCAAAATTGT